CCCCCGAGCCGACCTGGACGCCGCTGCCACCAACTACCCCACCGCTGCCTGTATTCCCTTCCTCCTTCCTCTCCTCCCCCAGAAACAAATTTCCGATGGGCCTCTCCGCCGACATGAGAAGGCGAGTCTTGCTCTCGTAGAGGACATCCACAAGGGTGATGAAGCGCCTGGCCTCGTTCGCCCTCCGCGCTCCCATACAGGCCACCCCCTCCAGCACCAACGTGTGGAAATACCCGCTCAGGGCCTGGTAGTCCGCGGCGAACACATCTGTCGCGCACAGCTCTTCGAAACTGAAGCGACAGATGCCTCCGCAGGCCTCGGGGACCCGGAGCGTCCGGCCCATCATCACCGGGACCTGGCATGGCCCCCCTCGGCGTCCCCCACTAAGGCGCAGGAAAGCCGCGTCCAAAGCCCTCGCCGCCTCCCTCCTGCCTTTGAAAGTCTCCTTCACCTCTGCCATCCTTCCCTTTTTCTCTTCTTCCTTCCCCCCCTTCGATCCGGCCCCCGCATTCTCCCCCTCTCCAACTCTCCTCTTCGCCTCTGAGACCCCCTCGTGGACAGTAGGGGTGAAATACTTCCCTTGCTGCCAGGCAAAGCCTCGGCGGTGATCCCTCTCCGACTCCATGGACTCCACCCGGCACTGCCGCCTGAGCAGGTCTATGAAGGGGAGGAAGTAAGGTCGATTCAGGCCTCCCAAGTACAGGTCTTCCGGGGGCCTATTCGAGGTGGCCACCACCACCACCCCGCTCCCCTGCCAGAGTTCGGCAAATAGACGGCTCATGATTATGGCATCCGCAACGTCCGTCACCTGAAACTCGTCGAAGCACAGGACCGTGGCCTCCTGCCTGGGGGGGAGGGCCGGGGGTAAGGATGGCGTTGCGGGGGGGTATATGACAATGCGGCGGATCAAAAGTTACGGATTCATTTGGAAGCATTTCCTCTTTAATGTCACCCTGTGGTCGGCCAATTCGATCCCGGACAGGCATGCAACGAAAGGCCCCTCCGAGGGTGAGCCACGCCTGAGGGAAAGGAGACACTACGCCTGATTGCTTTTGCACCCGTAAATCTTTCTGAGCACTGCCTCCTATCCGTTCTTTACCCATGCCTTTTCCACCTACCCTATCTGCCGTGCGATTTGTGTGATCGCGTTGCGCTCAGGCCGCAAGTCCACGTGACGTTGTCGTCCTTCTCTCTGCAACGCCTCCTGCTTCCAAGCGTGAATTCGAGCATGAACTTCTAACATAAATGAGTGAAAATGC